ACGGCACGGCAGGGAACGAGCAGGCGGTGAGCGGGGCCGAGGTCTGAAGCGAAATCAACTGCCCGGGCAAGGGGGAACGGGGAAGAGCACGGGGGAGGCAGAGGGGGCGGCTGGCGACCCCTCCTCTCCTTTCCGGCCTGACCCCCCCCTCGTTTTGTTGTCCCTGGAGAAAGGGGCTGGGTGTGTTCCCAGCATGTCTGGCTCTCTGGTCCCCGCATTTCGGTCCCTCCATGGCCTGCACCCATCCCCTGGGCTTTGGGGCGCACTCCCCCAGGGGCGCCGGCCTTGTTTTTTGGAGGATGCCTCCTGTCCTCCCTTGGGGAGAGCGGGCAATTATTTGCGTGCGGACCTCTGGTAGTAGCTAGGTAAGGGGCGTAGATGGATGTCCCCGTGTGTGCAAGTTCTTGAGTGTATGCAGGATTAAATGGTTATTGCTCAGGTACACAGGCGAGCATTGATCTCTGCTTACGGGCAAGTATGTCGGCGGGGGCGGGTGAGTAAAAAGGTGTGCCTTGTCTGTTGCTCTGTGCGTGTCTCTAGGGTACTCACACTTGACTCCGTCCCCCAGTCAGCCAGCCAGCCAGCCAGCCTCCCCCCTCCCCCAAGATGGCTCCTGCACAATCCCCCCAAGGCGCTCCTTCTAGCAGAGAAAGGCTGGGGTTGTGTCTGGAGTGCCCAGAATTGGGGTGGGGTGGGGGAGGTCGTGCTCTTGCACCTGCTACACCGGCATCTCTCTCTCTCTTTTCCCCTACTTCAGCACCGCCACTTCTGACAGAGTCACTCTGAGGTCCTTGTTTCTCTCGATTCCGGACAATACAAGCAATATTTCCTGCTGCCTTCTGTGGGAACAATGCAGTCTTCCTCTTTGGAAGAGGATGGAGGCAGCTGGTTTTAGAAGTGGAGGGCCTCATCCTAAAGATACAGTAATATGCGAAAACAATGGAGCGTATATAGGTTTATCAGACTGTGTATACACCATGAGAAGTGGAAGAGGAGTGAGCAAAATGTATATCTGTAATTATTGGTGAGCATTTGGGTGATTTGTAGCAGATCACCAAGGATTTCTGATTTTCAGTTCTTAACAGTAGCAGCAACAGCATAATTATTATTCTTTGCCTTAAACTCTGCTACTAAAATTAAGGAAGCTTAGGGTAATTAGAAGTAGATTTTAAAGTATGAAAACTGTGAACTTTCATTTTTGGTACCTGAAGCAAACTGTTGGGTGCATAATTCTTTATTGATAGGTGTATGAGGTTTTGGAGCTTAATATACCAGTTTTTGTTGGTGCTTCTCAGGTTTCAAGTAAAAAAGATGCCACTGACCTAAAGTCTGCCCACCACTGGAATAAGATAGCTTTGGTGGCTCGATTTCACAAGAGTCTTGGCTGAGAGCAGTGTACCTTTTCTGCCAGCTCCACTTGCCCGAAGGTTTTGCTTAAGCCAAATGCCCTTCTGCCCCTAGAGACCCTGTATTGGAATGGAAGGCACTACAAACAGATTCTGATCTGAATAGGTCTTGTTAGATTTTTGTATATTTACGTGGCCTGGAAAAGTGTGTCTAAAAAGCACATTATGCACTTCTTGTGTCTTGCTGGAGACATTGGTATATAGTGTTGTTGTTTTTTAACATGGAGGTATCTTTCCAAACAGGTAGCCATCTGAAACATATAATTCATATTGGGTTTTCAGATAACATTATCAACTTAACAGTTATGGTTTGACAGACTAAAAACTGAATATTTCTAAATGCCAGCAAATTATCTAATTATTATCTAACTCTCTGATGATCACCAGGCAGCAGAGAGAGCTGAGTTTCCAGTTAAATTATTCACAGCCAAGGAGCAGCCCAGCTGCAATTTGGTTCCATTAGTGGATTGTTAACATTGCAAAAAGCCCGTATCTCCACTACACTCGCCTGTGTTTTGCACATCTTGCCTGTGCTCTCCTTGTGCAATGGATATCCAGTGATGTACTTAATCAAGGGGAGAAGGAATAGGAAGAGACTCCTTTGGGAAGAAACATGGTGGATCTAGGAATGCTTTTAATCTCTGGATATTGAATGTATCTCCTTTAAGGAACTTCTGCAGGTAGTGTGTCCTAAGGGTAGGATGGTAGACTGGTTGTTCTCTGCTTTGTGCCTTAGCTTCACCACGAGTGTGTCTTGTTATAGTATCTTCCCCCATGCACTTGTGGAAGATATCAGGAAGGCTGATGTATTTCTCCACAAAGTTCAAGGGAGCAGTGAAATGCCATGCTGTAGCAAATGTCATAGGAAATGGCCGCTGCTGAGATTCCGGAACGCAGCTGTCCATAGGCTCAGTCCATTACTATTTATTAAATAGCCACGTAACTTTGATGTAGGTATGATGGCCTCCACAGTCTGGTTCTCCCTGGGACATGACCTTTCTACATCTTTGTTGCTGGAGTTTAGTGGGTTTGGCAAGGCCACAGAGAACAGTGCAAATAAGTTGCAATTTTGTTTGCAGCTTCATTCTTCTCATGTGGCCTCTGTATGCTGCTGGCTTTGTTGCCTTCTGCCCATGGATTTCTCTCACTGTATGCTTCATTTAGGCTGCCATACTATTGGGAGGTAGGACAGGAAAGATGCTTAACTCGGCATTGATGCTAGATGGTCCATTCCTCCATCTTTATATTGTACAGTACTCTCATCCCTGGACCATCGTCACTGTGTCCTAAAAGAAGTAGCAAGATCTTGCATTCCCAAATAATTAATAGAGTATTCCTTAAATCCCTTTCCCCATTCTTCTGTATTCACAATTTTAATATTTCAAGAATTATAAAAAGCTGTAATTTGCAGGTTGTGATACATAGTTGGTTTTTTATTTATTGACCTGTCTTTTTAGTTCATTCCTCCTAGTTCATAGCTGTTGTGCAAAAGTCCTGTGCATAGGAAAGTTTAGATAGCAGAGAGAAAGCTGCATTTTCTCTAAAATCTTCATTTCTACATGTATAGATTTTCCTTCCATGGGAAAGCATTCAAACCTGTCCTTAACCTGCAGGCACATTATAGTTTAGAGACAGTTTTATAATTTCAGTTGTCATGTGTGTCAGCTACACCAGAGTGAAGTGAATCTTTAATTGTGAATTTGGAGTCAGAAAGTGGCGATGGCAGTTGTTATCAGCTGAGTGATACAAAAACAGATACACATGTTCAGTCTTGTGAACATGACTTTTAGAAACAATAAATTATTGCTCCCAAATGCATCTCTACAGTTTCTTCTAGAGTAGAAACCTCACTGTCTTCATTGTGCCCTCACTCAAGCACTTCTAGATAGGGCAGTGAATAGGGCAACTCCCAGAAATCCTGGTCAGCAGAGGTGGTGGTAAAGGCTTCTGGGAGGTGTAGTCCAAGAACATCTGGAGGCCCAAGGTTGGGGACCACTGAGATAGGGAGACTGGTTTTGTTTCTAAAGTAGGTAGTCATGAAAAAAGTTCATTTTATTCCAAAGAAATGAGAGAGCTTTCATAGGATTATGGTACGCTGGTAAATGTGCAACTGTTCAACGTGTTAAGTGCTTTGTGTGTAGCCCACTGTTTAGCTGAATAAAACATCTTATTATAACATTCCTCTATAGTAAGCTGAGAATCAGATGCCTTTCCATGTTGCTTGCAGCAGTATTATTTGAAAATCCTCATTCCTTTTCATCAATGAGAGGAAGGATGTCCTATGATATTTTCATTTTAGCTTACATTTTATGTAGCTTCTTATCACTGGGGCTCTGTTTTCTTGTTATGCCGTTGTTGTTATGTGCTCTCAGGTTGCTTCTGACCCTTGGCAACCCTATGAGTTGAGGGTCTCTTGTTATAGAGGCTCTCTTCTCTGCGTAACAGTCTCCCCCAGCAAGATGTCCTCCGGAAGTGTTAGAGTCTCACTCGCCCCAGCCAGCACAGCTAATAATCAGTGATGGTGGACAGTCTGATCTATACTTCCAGGAGGGCATTCAGCTGAGAAAGGATGATCTAATACAATCTTGTCAGTGCGCAAGACTTTTGCTCATGCTTTTTAACATGCCAAATAAACAAATATGAGCAAAAGAGTCACTCATTCAAAGTTACTGATGTTTCAGGCATAGAGGTTTGACCATAGCTTCCAGAATCATGTTCAAGGCCCTCTAGATGTGACATGGGGCAGTTTGGTGCAAAAGAATCCTTGGGAATCTGAGCTTATTCTGTTTTCTATGCAGTCTACCTGCTATTATGCTCTGAATTCATTGTCAAAAGTGAGAGAAATCCTGCTGATAAGATCAGACATCTATATGCAGTTCCCCACTTACCTTTTTCATCCCTTTTCAAAAATGTGGGACTCACAGCTTGGGACAACAGGATTTCAAAGCGGAAGTAGAACATCCCTCTTAAATATGGGTCATCCTGTTGAGAATTATTCCTTTACTAAATGCAGTAGCATGGGGGGCTTTTCTTTTTAAGATGTGTGGTGGTAAGGGTTGATTGAAACATGTTCCATTTTACATATGTGTGTGCGCGTGCATGCGCATGTGCTGGCACACACACACACTGTAGATCTTTGGTGGGGCTAAGTGCTTAAAGAGCTGGCTGGATATGGAAAAGAGAGGGTGGGTAGGTTTGGGATGGGTTTAGTTCACATCTGAGCTGTCACTGGAGAGGTAAAGGAGCCTCTGCTTCCACCCTGAACACAGGGCACAAAGTCTCTCTTGGTTTATTGCTCATTTGATTCCCATGCCTGCCTTTCCCCTTATTCAAGGGATATTCATTCCTCCTTCATCTTTTTGCTAAGAGCATGAGGATTCCTGTACAATTGCTAGTAAGTGGGATGTCACTGCTTGCCTCCTTAATACCCCCTTGTCACTCCCCAAGGATGCCTTTTCCTGCAGCCTATTGCTTTTGTTCTGTGAGCTGCATTCACTTCTGATCAGCTATCAGTGTTGTAGAGGGATATAGGCTATCTGGATGTTTACAAGACCAGAAGGACTCATCGGTTAAAATCAATATGCAAAACGTAAGTGTGCATAGTCATTTGGAGAGAGTGGAATGGTGGGTGGGAGGTCTTACATCAGAAGATATTCCCAATATCAGCAGAAGGCATTCATGGTTGCTTCTTTTAATATGCACTTTAAAGAAACAAATTTTTTTGGGGGGGGCGGGGGGGGCTGAATCCTGCTTTTAGTGAGAAGCAGGGTATTTCCTGATGCCCTCATCTTTTCTACAGGAGGCTTGGTGCCTGGACCAGAGCCCCCCACACTGTGCCCCCCTGATGCTGGCCAGCCTGTGCCCAGAAGATGAGCAGATTGCTGGTGGGTGTGACTCTGGAGAGGATCTGCAAAGCTGTACTGCTCCTATGTTTGTTGCACTTCCTCATCATCATGATCCTGTACTTTGATGTCTATGCCCAGCACCTGGATTTTTTCAGCCGCTTCAATGTGCGCAACTCGTCCTCTCGCACCCTGCCCTATGTCAACATCTCTCGGCCTAACGTCACCGCTGGACCGCTGGGCCCTGAGCTCCTGGGCTCGAGTGCCAAGCCTGTCAGGAACAACACTGTCACCGAGAAGCCCTTACCGCCCTGCCCAGAAATGCCTCCTGGTCTAGGTGAGTTTGCTGATGAGTCCCCGTGCCTTGCCCTGACCGCATAGTCCCCACCCCACCCCCCTTGCATTGCTGTTATTGGGTTTCTGTCTGCCCTGCTTGCCACCTGTTGTGCTCTGTCTCAACTTCCTACTGGTACAGTATGACAAGCGGCCTCTGGAACAGGAGGATCTATAACTCTGGTGCAGCCTTGCAGATCATGAAACCCTATATCCTGTAACAAAGAAGCCAATTTTGCAGTGGAAATGCCATTGAAAGTAGGAAAACCATATATGTTGAAGGTCTACCTGTTGACAAATGCTTTCAGTAACATTTGGGGGGGGGGGAAATAGTGATTTTTTTTCTATATTCGACAACAACTCCATGTCTTGTGCTGCCATCTCCAACCCAAAACTTTTTCCTAGTCTACCTTCCTGCATTTTCTGACTTCCCCAGGCTATCTTTATTTGTCTTGGTCCATGCTAAAATGCATTAAATTCTGTGAAATATATAATGGGAAGAATCCTATTAGCTGTTTGCACCAGTGAAAGTATAATGGGATAAATTAAATCCAGAAATCACCACTAGCAAAGAAGTTGCTGTTCCTATCTCTTATTACACACCAAGTTGCTTGATGACTGGTGCACAATGAGGGATATGAGCAGCAGCTTGGCTGTTGTATGCTGTCAAGTCTGAGCCAATTTATAGTGACCTAATAGGGTTTTCAAGGTAAATGAGATGTTTAAGGAGCGTTTTTACCAATTCCAATTTGAACTCAGGCCTCCAGAGTCCTACTCCGTTTCTCTATCCACTACACCACACCGGAAACTAGAGGCAGTGATTTATACCATTGTGCTTCTACTGCTATAACCAGTGGACAGTGGGGAAACCAGATAAATCTAATTTGAAATGCCCATTGCAACACATTTCCCTCTAGCTTAGAATTTGGCTTCACTGAAAAGTTTGCAGTATGCTCCCTTTCTTTCAGACAGCACAAAGCTGTGCTTATGGGTTTTCTAGGGGCCTTCCTTCGAAGTGCTGCCCATGTTTTCAAACCTGTCTCCTACCTGTACTAAGAGGTGAGAATGCTGTTTTTCCCCTGGAGTGTATGGCAAAGCATTCAGTGCTTGAGAGAGCTAATACCCGCAATCCCCACTGGATTTCGAAGGATTTATCTTTCTTTGATGCAAAGGCAGCTATAGTTCTCCCCACCTTTTGTTACCGAATGGTTATTGCTACCATTAGACTGTGTTGCTGCAGTTCTAGACTGGTACTGAAATCCACCTGTGTTGTCAGGGCTGTCATTTTAGGGGTTTTATTTAATTTCAATTTATTTCATTTATTTATTTATTTTTATACTGCATATCTGACCAGTAGTCACTGTGGGTGGTTCACAGACAATAACAATAACAACAATAACAAATCAAATGTGATATAATCACGTTGGCATTTCCTCAATACTCACTTGGAATAAGTAGTTGCATTATGTTCCATACTTGTTTCTTTTCCTGCTCATAGTCCCACTTTATTCTTAGGACAACTCTGAGTCAGTCGTTTTGCTTATAGCAGTGGTTCCCTACCTTGAGTCCCCAGATGCTCTTGGACTGTACCTCTCAAAAATCCTGGCCGGTGCAGATACCGCGTTTCCCTGAAAATAAGACCAGGTCTTATATTAATTTTTGCTTCAAAGATGCATTAGGGCTTATTTTCAGGGGATGTTGTAGTTTTTCATGTACAACAATCTACATTTATTCAAATGCAATCATGTCATCTTCTTCTGGAACATTGTCATAACTCTCCAAACCCTGAATTTTGCCCTGAATTTCTTGTGACTCCCTCCAGGGTAGGGGGAGTGGTGGTGGTGGTGATGATGATGATATTGGCATTAAGGGCCCCAACACAAACTGACCTCAAACCCCTTCTGCCACAGGACCAGACAGTATCTGTCTTGTTTCAGGAATGCACTTGCTTGTTGAGGTGGTAAGGAGAGGGGGAAGTATGGATCTTGCTGGCCCGCATGGACGAGACAGAGTCAGTCCCATTTGCTGCACAATGAGTACCTGGTGGAGGGTGGGGTTTCATTTAACTACGGCTAATTTGGGGATTAGGGTTTATATTATGAGCATTCTGAAAAATCATACTAGGGTTTATTTTCAGGTTAGGTGTTATTTTCAGGAAAACAGGGTAGTAGTGAAGGCTTCTGGAAGATTTAATCCAAGAACGTCTGGGGACCAAACGTTAAGAACCACTGTCCTATACCAACTCAGGCCTTTGTCTTTCTCTTGAGGTTTTCTTTGGGTTGGTTATGTTTTGACTTTCTGCTGCCTCTGTACTTTATAAACTTGGGTTCCTAGGTTTCTTGGATGAACTTTTCTGGACAGTATCCAGCCAACTTGTCTAATGAAAATGACAGTATTTGTCATGGGCTGTGCTCCACTTGAGTGGCTGATGTGTGGATCATAGAACCATTTTCTTCACAGTGGGACGGCTCCTGATTGAATTCAGCTCTCCCATGAGCATGGAGAGGGTGCAGCGAGAGAACCCAGATGTGCAGGAGGGTGGCAAGTACTCACCCCCAGACTGTGTGCCTCGCCAGAAGGTGGCCATCCTCATCCCTTTCCGCCACCGTGAGCATCACCTCAAGTACTGGCTGCACTACCTGCACCCAATTCTACGACGTCAGAAGGTGTCTTATGGCATCTATATTATCAACCAGGTGTGTAGGAAGAGATGACAGGAGGGAGGGGAGGGTAAGATGGTTGGGTATAGAATATAATGCTCTGCTTGGAAGAACTGAGAAGGATTGCTGCGGCTCAGTCTTCAGAAAAATATAAGCCTCTGTAGTCTCAATAGAAGTAGAGGAGGAGTAGCCCTATAAGTTGCCCTTAGGTCTCATTTCAGAAGCCTTCTGAAGTGATCAGCAAGAATAGTCTGTCCTTTCCACGTAATCTGTGTGTTGGGAGGAAGAGGGAAGGAGAGAAGGAATTCCAAAGGGAGAGAGGGGGAGAGATAAGGTGAACAAGAGGTGTCCCTGCCTACTTTGGCTCCCCCCCCTCCGTCCCAACAGTTCAGCCCACCCACTGCTGACTTGTGGCTCAAATAGATTATTTGAGGGAATGTGGCCTGTCTGACACAAAGAGTCTCCCCACCACAAAGCAGAGGCTTCCAGAGGCAGACAATTTATGGACTTTTGTATTTTCCTGGGCATTACCTTTGAGCCATGGCCACTGCACTTAATTCAGAGTGAGTGTGGAACATCCGATAGGCACTCTTTGCATGCACTCCATTTTGCATAGATCTGTCCTTTGGCTGAACTTTGCAAATTTTGCAAAATCAGTCATAGGAAAGTGGGGAAAATGTAAGATAGTTCTTTACACTGGAAAGTAATGAGAGTGGGGCACTTTGTAGGTACTGTGTAGGAATCAATGAGTTCAGCCTTGCTGATCTTTCCATACAGTTCGGTGAAGATACCTTTAACCGAGCCAAACTTTTGAATGTGGGCTTTCTGGAAGCCCTTCGAGACGATGAGAGCTATGACTGCTTCATCTTCAGTGATGTTGACCTTGTGCCCATGGATGACAGGAATATTTATCGCTGCTATGACCAGCCCCGACACTTTGCAGTTGCCATGGATAAGTTTGGTTTCCGGTAAGTGAATGGACTGGATCTTTTCTTCTTTTCTTTTTTCTTTTGTCATATGACCTGCATTTTGCTGAAATGTGTTGGGAATAGCACTAGGCTACTGCAACGATTGGCTTAACTGTGTATGTTACTTTATACCATGGATAGGCAGCTTCCGTGGACTGGGATACTCCATTGGCTTGCCCCAAACCCACCAGGGTGAGGAGAGCACATGCCTGATACAGCTGCTGAATTTGCTGCTACTTCAGCAGTGGTGGCAGCAGAAATAAAATAAAATAAGAAAAAAGAAAGCAGCATTCTACCTTTAAAAGTGGTGTTTCTTACTTGAAAATAAGTCACACAGTCTCTCCATGCCTTGTTCACAAGCAGATTCTTAAGTTACTATTAGAATTGTAACGCCATAGATTTTAATCTTTCCTGAGAAACCTGTGGTATTTACTTGTACGGTCAAAAACAGTTTGTGCAAGTTGATAATTTTGAACATAGAATTTGCCATTCCAGTGTAGTGGTCTTAGATCTGTCAGTTTGGATGTTTTCGGGACATGAATATCCTGCCTACACAGCAGGGGTGGGTAAAATATGGCCTTCCAGATGTTGTTGAACTGTAGCTCACACCATTCTGCAACATTAAGTAGGTTGGCTAGGGCCAATGGAGGTTGGTGTCCAACAACATCTGGAGGCTGGACTTTGCCCACTCCTGATGCAGACGATGGTTGCATCTCCTATGGTGTGGACCTTTTGGAGGCCTATACACTATGAAACTTGCATCATTTCTAGACTACAGTATAGAAGGGGTAGGGAATTTAGATACAGCCAACATGCCCAATAGATGGGGGTGATAGGAGTTACAGCCAAACATTGTCTAGAAGGATTCAGATTCCCTTTCTGTAAGATAGGCATATTTTTCATTCATGAGCCCTTACATCACAGTTCTCTAAAGCGTTTATAGATATTCTCTTGTTAAACACAGTCTTTGCTGTTGCTTATGAAAAATGCTATCAGAGATGTCCCTGTGATACTGCATCATGGATTGGACAGTGGACACTTGGAAAAGGTATATGCTCGTGATGTAAGCAGTGGTGGAAATCCAGTTGCAAAGTGCAGCCCACTAGAGTCTCTTACCTGCCAAACTAAGCAAGAAAAGTGTGTGTAAGTGTATGTAAAGTGGCATTTTAGAGTCACTTAAGACAGTGGTCCCCAACCTTGAGCCTCCAGATGTTCTTGGACTTCAACTCCCAGAAATCCTGGCCAGCAGAGGTGGTGGTGAAGGCTTCTGGGAGTTTTAGTCCAAGAATATCTCGAGGCCCAAGGTTGGGGACCACAGACTTAAGGAGATGATTCGAAGGTGGGAAGGAATTGAGAAGGCCACGATATGTAAGAGACATGACTGATACCATATGGGTGACTTTGGAAGTAAGGTTAAACTGCAGCAGGACTGACTTGGACCACACAGGTTCTGAACCCATTTCTAAGCTTGACTGATTTCCCATCTCTCCTGCTTGTCCCTTGCAGGCTGCCATACTCTGGCTACTTTGGAGGTGTCTCTGGCCTGAGCAAGACACAGTTTCTGAAGATCAATGGCTTCCCTAACGAGTACTGGGGCTGGGGTGGGGAAGATGACGACATCTTTAACCGGTGCGTGAGAGACTGGGTTGGGCAGGCCAAGCCTGTCCTGTCCGTGTTCTCTGTGGGTTGGTTGCAGTAGCCGTGTAATCTGCCTTTCCATGTGGTGGCGGCTGGGAATACTTTGATTGGCAGGGGACCTCATTCTCTTTGGGATAGGAGGGGCGGGCTAGCTGGGCAAACACTGCAAACTGGTACATAATCACTATTCCCCCCCCCATTAATTGCATTCCCAAATCTGAAATAGGAGCACAAGGACAGATTGCTGTTCAGTAATGTGTAAGAGACAGATCAAGTAGCACATAAGAGACAGAGTCAAATAGAAGATTTCTGTCTGTGAATCAGAGCTGTGAAAATCAGGAGGGGAAGGAAGCTGGGGAAATGAGGACTAATTCCTGCTGTAGTTCCTGCTGTAGAGTGAGGTCAAAGCAAAGACTTGTTTGAGAACCCACCATCACCCCCCATTTTGCTGGTCTCTGAGCTGTAATTTTTCTTTGCACAGGATCTCGCTGAATGGCATGAAAGTGTCACGTCCTGATGCCCGCATTGGGCGCTACCGCATGATCAAGCATGAGCGTGACCGGCACAATGAGCCCAATCCCCAGCGGTGAGAGAGCATGTGCTGCCTCCCTACACAGTGCCCCCACAAGCTACGTGATGAGATTGCAGCTCCAATAAATGTCTCTGCCTTGTTTCTAGTCCATACCCAGCCTAAAAGCACCATCTTTTTGCAGGGTGGAGGTGGAGAGGAATAAGCTTCAAAACTTATCTTCCCTCCATTGTTTCTCACAAACCAGGTACCGATGTGAGCCAGACACTCTTTTGTATATCTTCCAGAGGCGCAGGCATGGGGAATCTCTGGCCTTCCAGGTATTGTCGCACTCAGACTCCCATCTTTCCTGGTTATTGTCCAGGCCCAATGGGAACTGGAGTGCAACAGCATAAGGAGGGTCACACCTTCCCTACTCTGCTGTAAGCATTTCTATGGAATTAACTTCTGCAAATTGTTAAGTCTCCCCCTACCAAGCATTTTATTGCTGTGTGTTCCTTCCTTTCCACTTCTACCCCCATTTCATTTCTGCCCCTTCCTTGTAAAAAACACATGACATCAGTCAGGAGTTCTGCCCGGTGTATTGGATTAAACCGGTGCTCTATTGAGGGAGGGAGAAAGATGCTTGTGCCCTCCTGCTAACTAGCACTTTTACTGGGTAGAACCAGAGACATGCCAAACCAGCAGGATGTGCATTCTGGATCCTTTGAGGGCAATATACTTTCTCAACTTAGTGACAGACTGGCTAACAGGAGCATTTTACCATCATCCCCCTTGAAAGGCATGGTCATCGTGGTCATAACCGCCAGTCTTCCTTAGCCCTTTAAATGCAGTCACCATGTTCAAACCTCCAAGCTCTTGTTTGCGCCCTGCCTTCCAACTCTAGGGCATCACATGATGGCAGATTCTTGTTTTAGCTGCTGCCTTCAGTTCTCAATAGTAAATGTGCTCCCTGAGACTCTGGGCCTGACAGTGACTTTCCCCCTTCATGTGTTCAAAGGAAACAATTTAGTTCCAGCAGTCTCATATAGTTTTAATGAGATTAGCCATGGAAAATGCTTTGTATACTATAGAGATTGTCACATTGTTGATTAGTAGTCTCTTAAGCAAGGCTTTTACTTAGATGGCGAACCCATCAAAATAAGTGAGTGTGGTGTAGTGGTTAGAATGTTGAATTTGGACTTGGGAGATCTAGGTTCTAATCCCTACTGGGCCATGAAACTAATTAGGTGACCTTGGGTCCACTACACCTTCTTAGCCTGACCCTAAACCTCTCAGAGCTGTTGTGAAAGCAAAGTGTGGAGGAGGAGTGTTTACGTTGCCTCATTGGTGGAAAAGGAGCACTGAAGTGTAGCAGATGCGTAATATATCAGACTCATTCCAGATGGCACAAAGCATCGTTAGATCTTCCATTGGAATCATAGGGGGGATTGTTGATAAGTTTAAATTGCACTGGAATTAGTTGAGGAGGTGAGCTTTATGGATAAGATGAGCTTCTCTTTGGTTCTCCTGGCAGGTTCACCAAAATCCAGAATACCAAGGTGACCATGAAACGTGATGGCATCGGCTCACTGCAGTACCGCCTGGTGGAGAAGGTTCGGCGTCCCATGTATACCAATATAACTGTGGAGATTGGCCGACCACCACCGCGGCCCCCTCGGGGTTGACTCTTGGCTGCCTGGCTCTGCCCACGGCCCCATGCATGAGGAGCTGTGTGGATCCCAGCCCTGACTGGTTCAGAGGACTGTGTCTGGTTCGGAGGACCTGCCTGCCTCCTTTCTGGGGATTGGGGAAAAGGCCAAGAAGAGTATCTTTGCCTTGCTTAGCCTTCAGAGGAAGCCCCCATCTCCTTATCACTAGTCAGTTCTCCACAGTGCCCTTCACAGGCCGGGGAGTGAATGTGAGTGTGTTACGGTGCCTGTCTTCGTGTGTGAGGGCTGTGGGTACAGCCCGGCCCCGTTCCTGGTTGGAAGGTGCCCAAGAGCTGAGGAAGCCACGTTGCAGGTCTTTTTGGCAGAACCTGCCCTCTTCTTGTGCTCCTGACAAGGCTCCATCCCGCAAAGAGTCCAGAAGTACAGTAGCCGTTCTCCTCCTCTTCTTCTTCTTCTTCACGCAGCCTGCCAGTCGACTGCCTTTTTGAGCCTTCCTTCCAGGGCAGGGCCTGGTTTTATGACAACTGCCAGCTCCCAAAGTGTCAAGGTGGTTCACCTCTGACCAGTTTGAGGAGGAGAGCTACATTGTGGTGAAAGCTCCGGTTGGTCTGGCCATGGCCCACTTCCATATTCCTGGCTTGGTGCTGTCCCCTGCTGAGTTCTGGGTGTCATTTCTGGCTCCAGTAACGCAGGGGTGTTTTCTACAAACTCTCATTAGAATCCTCGAGTGCTTCCTGGGTTAGAGTGGCATGTGGCCTGCCTGGCAAGGGAGCAACAAGCACCATGTTCCTAGCTGTGTTTGTTCCTTTGTAAAGAACAGTTGGTTGGGTGGATTCATGATTGTGTTTCAGGCTACTCCGGGGTGGGGAGACTTGTTTCTTAGTTCCATGGGCACAAAGGGGCCAATGACCATGGTTACAGAACAGAAGAAGGCCACGTTGGCTTCCTGTCTTTTTTCCCTGACCCACTGCTACCACCTTAGCAAGCAGTTCTTACCATTTGTGACACCATCTACCAGGCCCACTCAGACTGCCCTTTTTGCCAAGCTGCCATCTGTTAACACCTGAGGCCGGGCCCCTGGATCTGTCTTGCTCATGATGTGTGGCAGCCCTGGGTCTAGTATCTGGAGCTAGAAAGCTGCTGGTGTCCCTCCATTCTGGTTATGGTGCCTGGCAGGTAGAATCTCCTGTATCTGTCCACTTTGGGGGTGGCAGCTGGGCCAGGCTTGAAGCCAGGCATCAGTGTGTTGCACAGCCCCCGTGTTGGTGACTTTTGTACATTTGAATGTTTTGATCCCTTTTCAAGCCTATGGTGAATGCAGCACTGGTCACTATGATCAGATTTTTGTATTCAGTAAAGTTTCGAAACTTGGAGTCCCTTTGTGTCTGGAATTTTAAATAGGGTTGGTGGACAGGAAAAGCACTGCAGGCATGAGGAAGTATGGTTGGTCTTCCGCTCCCATCAGCCCTAGGGCTCTGAAGCTTAGCTGGGTCAAGTTGTGCTGAAGTCTCCTTTTCCTGCCCTGGTACTAGCTGGGAACCTTCTTTCTGAGCAAGACGCTTGGGCAGAGTTTGGCCTAAGTAAGCCTGAATGCCTTCCAGTTTACACTCTTCTCCTGGGTGCATCACATGCAGCTATTTGCAACATGCCTGTAAGGTACAGTAGGTAGAACTCCCAGAATAGAGAATTATGGTGGTGTTGGTCCAGAAAATCCAAAAATCCCATCTCTAGCCCATATCAAGGGATTGTGGGAGCATCAATCCGAAAACAACTGGATCACCATTCTTGATCTACTGCAGAGATGAGTACATTTGGCATGGTTGTGGGGTTTTTTTTGGGGGGGGGGTAATTTTGACACCACAAACCAGAACCCATTACAGGGCCACACCATAAGTATTTTGAATGGCTTTCCAAAACCATGACCGAGTCTCACTTTCTGCCTTAAAAAAATACAGCAGAAAGCCCCATCCATACTAAAGCTAGTTCTGTGCTTTGCTGTAGAAGACAGTCACCATTCCCAGCTGCCTGCAGGAGGAGCAGTTCTTTTGGCTTCTTCATATTCCTCATGATAAGGTCAAACGGCATGATTAAATGAATAATTTTGAAACTTGCAACTTCTTATACTAACCTCTTCTGTCTAGCTTTAGTACAAAAGGGGTAATTTGGCCCAGGAAGCGGCAAACACAACTGCTCAGAGAGGAAAATATTCCATAAGAAGCCTTTATTGTCATATATTCACACAAGTGAAACTGTTGGGGAGTGATCTGCGGAAGATACTGTTTGAACAGGAATGGAATTGATGGGAGTCTTCATTGGGAGAGAGATTCCTTAAATAAAAGGAAACAGGAAAGGGCGCCACTTCAACAGCTTGTCCTTGGAGTTCAATCCTTTGCATAGTAATTTTAGGAGAAAAAGCAGCTCTGGACTCAGATCAGCATTGCTTGTGAATATGGTTGGAGGGGGGCTGAGTACACATTCGGGTTGTTTTGTAATATCAGAGGTTTGAAGGAATTGATCTGGTGCTCAACGTAACTCAGGCCTGGTGTCCAGCTGTAGCCCGGCATCCCCGTAGCCGCTCACATTTGGCTAAACGGTTTCCTTCCCAGTAGCCAGCATCCTGGCCATCGTGACAGCGGCATCGGGTGCAAGGCCCTACCCAGACACTTTCCCCAGCAGGTATGACTCGGCGCTGGCTCCCATCCACATAGCAGTTGGGCCCTATGGAGATACAAGTTCATATTAAGCTCTGGTTAATGTGTGCCTCCTGCAATCTTGGGAATTACAAGAACAGACATGGCAGATGTCTTAAGAGTCTAGAACTGCTGCTTCCCAATAATCGCACTCCAGCCCTGTACTCTGCCCCTTAAATGGAGCTTCTCTAGTCTTTGTGCACTGCTGGGAGCAGTCCTTCACTGTGTTGTTAAGGTAGATTTTATATGGGAGGTTCCTCTTATTACAACAGAAAACAGGGTCATGTTTTTGCTGATTCCTTCAAGGAGAGTGTTTTTCAGATGCCACTGGCCAGTGCTAAGTGTTTCCCTTCCCCCACCCTCCAATAGGATTGGGACCTTGACAGACCATATCCCACAACTTGGAAGTGGCACTACTAGTCCTTTTCACAGGGAGATGATAGACAACATTTCTCACCATCCTTGCAGGTGGGGCAGCAGTGGCCTTGCTCATAGATGGGGTTGACGCAGGGTGGAGGGGCACAGTCTGCCACTAGGCAGTGGGCAATTCCATCTAAGTCACAGGTACACTGCTCACATTCTGAAGGCTGTGAAAGACAAATGTTAGTGTATGTCACAAGGCAACTTTCAGTGGCATCTCTGCATAAGTAACAGTCACAGACACATAATTATGAAACTTTTTAATAAATTCCTGGGAGTTGCCATACCTGCATAATGTTTTTCAGTGTACATATTAACACAAATTGACATAGTGATTGTTTCTGTATTACAGAACAGATGAGGGAGTGACTTCAAAGTGCTCCCCTACCAAAAAAAATGTATTTCCCCCCATAATTCGAGCAAAGAAATGTTATGCAAGCAGGTAGCAAGCATGAAAGACCTGACTAGCTGTATATTTATGTATCTGTATCTCTTCTGAAGATGGCCTTTGGGTTAAGAGAGGGTGAAAGATAGCTCACCCAGTTAATTGTCTCAGATATCCATGGAGACCTGTGGCCCATTCTTTTCTATAATGTGTACAAACATTCCCAACAGAATGCCATCAGAGGGCGCTATCAACCCAAACCTCACTGATTCTGCTTACAAATAAGCCTCTGTCCTGATCTCTCTTCAATTTATACATCCTGCCAATTATGACCATCCATTCTGTTAGCTGCTGGCCCACAATCTCAAGTATCTTTGCAGCTCATCTATTCAGAAATCTGCTGGTTACTCTGGTTACTCTAAAGTTCAGAAAATGGCAAATACCTTAAATAATGTTTCCCTATAGCAAATATGTGGGGTAGGGCATAGTTGTTCCAAGTAAGGCAAAACCGACAGGGATTGCAGTGTGCCAAATAAGATCTATGTCTCTGTGGACAAAGCCTTCCCGGAATCCATCATCAGATGAAGCTGTTGCTTAAAATATTTGACAAGGGATACTAGCATCATTGCCCTTTTTATGAGCAGAGCCAGAGGCCAAGGCTGATGAAACCAAACTATTAATAATGAAGAGAAATGAGAGCGCCACTAGCAGCACCATGGTCCACAATACTTTAATCAGGATCACAAAGTTCAGGGATATGTTGGTATATTTTAAACGCAATTACTGTAAACTTTTTAACATTCTAAAGGAGGTTCTGCAATCTTTCATCGGGAGTTGCTACCTGGTCTTCACTGTAAGTATCTACAAATCAGCATTTCTCTTCTAATGCACTTGTCTCCTATTTTCCTTGGCTTTGCTAATAAAATTAACCAGTTCATTTGTCATGCAAGGCTATGCACATCTTGGAAATAAGTTCACGAATGCTGATGGAACTTACTTCCAAGCAGTCCTAAGCACATTCTTCCTCGGGCAATTTGTGCATGTGTGTTTCCCCTCCCCCTAAATCCACTTGCATTTAATGCCTCACTAGCAGCTTTTGTGCAAATACAAAGTATCCTGGGTCCAGGCATGGCTGTGCTGATCCACAGGCATATCGCTCAGCATATGCTCTAAAACAGTAATTAATTCTTAATGGAGGCGATTTGGACCCTTGGATGGCCCTGAGACATTTAAAGGGGAGGGGGCACAGATTGGGGGGGATTTACACACCACCTTATAAGGTCCATTGTACAACTTATATAATCCTGATATTTCTTTCATATAGTGTTTATGATCCCAGCCAAAAAAAGTTTGAGAATGGCTTCTCTGCTCTAAAGATCTGGGATCTTGATCTGGCAAATCTGGACACCCCTAGTGACTGGGAGTGGAGAATTAAAAAGAAATATCACTAGGTAGTGAGAATAGAAAATTAGTGAGAGGCAGGTGTCTTAAGATAAGCTAAACTCCAGCTCTGAGCTCCCAAACCTTTGCCTTTTCAAGTAATCTGAGTCTGCCTAAATCAGAGGGTGGTGAGCCGAGGCATAGCTGCCATCAAAGATGGTGCACAAGGAGCAGTTGATAAATTTGGTTTGCTGGATAAGAGGGAGAATTCAGTTGGAGAAGATTGCTCTGTCCATTTTCTGGACTGGACATTGTGCACTCATATTTTTGCAAATGCTAAATCAGTGCTATTCCTAAATACACAGAGCTCAAGAATGGAGCAGGCTTGAACCTGCCACTTCTGGAGAAGGACATAGCTTCTTTGGAGTAACAGCTAAAATCCCCAAGCCCTTCCGCCATGGCCAGACTTTTTATCTTGAACAGCCATGCCTGGAATTGTTTCGTCTGACTCAGATCCTAAAATATACTGCAGAGTGGATGCAACAGACAGTCGCTAGTCAATGTCAAGCCTAGGAAAGGAGAAAGATGAAAGCTAAGTGGGTCCAAGAAGCTGTTACAGTACTCCAATTTGACTTAAGAGTGGTCAGCTTGCATATTACGCGATCAACCTGATAGGATCCAGCACAGGTCTCTTGATCAAATGCTTTGCAACTGTGTTAGTTGAAAGCCATTTATCAATGTAGGGTTCCGTGATCTTTCCTTTCCGCCAAACGTCAAAGAAGTAGCAAACACAGAAGGAGGAAGGCAGAGAGTAAGGTCTCCTAAACTGCCTTCAGTTCATTAACCGTCCCACCCAGGCTTCCCTTTCGGAACAGATATGAAAGTCAGACGTGACTCCTACGTCGTTCTTTGGTCAAGCTCGGAAAAGCTGCTTTTTTGGGACAGCAACTTCTAGAATCTCTTAGCCAACAGTGGCCATACAAGCTGGAAAGATTCTGGGCGTTGTAAAACGACAAAACAAACAAACAAAAGCTCGGTAATTTACCTAGATTCTTTATCTGAGGGAGAGCAGCATTTATCGTCCTCACCCGTCCTTGCCCCCCCCGTCCCCGTCCCCTCCCCTGGATCCCTCTCATGCCACCCTCGCCCAACACACTCCTCTCTCGGCGTTACCTGGAACTGCTGTCCCAGTTCATACACCTGTCCCCGGTGCTCACAGCCGACCCGCTCGCAGCGTGGACAGCAGTCGCTGGGGTAGTGGCTGACGTGAATACAGGCCGGCGGCAGCGCGCTGCACTCCGTGCGGGCACAGGCGGGTCCTTCGGCCGTGCACTCGCACTGGGTACAATGGTCACTGTCGAGGAAATACCACTCGCCCACGTAGTACAGGCTCCCGTTGGCATCGCAGGTGGTAACGGGCCCCGCCAGCCCCGGCTTGGGCACCAGAGTCGTCGTCAGCAGCAGCAGCAGCAGTGGCAGGTGGACCAAAGCAAAGGGCATCGCTAAACTCAAGGGATCGCGCCAGGAGCGCCCGCTGGTCCCGAGAGCCAAGGCGAGGGGCGAGCAGAAGTGCCGGAAGGGAGCGGAGCGAGCGAGCGGGAGGCGGTCCAGAAGTGGGGCATCCACGGTGTCCCGACCGGAGGGTCCCGCCTGGAAGCCCTCCACGCTTCTGCGCCCGATAAACGCTCGGGCCAGCCGGGGCGCGCCTCGGCCTTTGTGCCGCCGCCGCCGCGACTCCCGCCCCTTCGCGAAACTCGACCCCGCTCAGGGGCACGGCGCCCCCTCCCCTCGGCCGGACGGAGGGAGG